AAAAAAAATATTTGTCTTAAAATATCCCATTTTCAGGGCCCTGGTGTAGGATATAAATATAAAATAAAAAATCGATATTGTTTTGACGCGGTAGACTCGCCAAAGACCCCGAACTGTGTAATAATAAACATTGAAAGTACAAAAACGTAATAGAATTCTCTGTCGAAGCCGCGTGAGCTCGGAAAGCTTTAACCGCTTTATGCAATATGAAACAATCGTGAAACCGATGGGTGAATTTTCCTTTTTTTAATTATTTTTTTATTGCTTAGATGTGTGGACGAGCTCACAGCCCACCTGGTTTTAAGTGGTTACTGGAGCCCATAGACATCTACAACGTAAATACGCTTCCCACCTTGAGATATAAATTCTAAAGTCTCAGTCTAGTTACAGCGGCTTTTTTTTAGTTACAACGGCTGCCCCAACCTTCAAACCGAAACGCATTACCGCTTCACGGCAGAAATAAGCAAGGTGGTGGTACCCACCCGCGCGGACTCACAAGAGTTCCTCCCACCAGTAATTACGCAAACTATAATTTTGCGGGTTTGAATTTTATTACACGATGTTATTCCTTCATCGTGGAAGTCAATCGTGAAGATTTGTTAAGTACGTATTTCATTAGAAAAATTGGTATCCGCCTGCGGGATTCGAATGCCGTTGCACCGCTACATACCAATGCACCGGACGTCATATCCTTTAGGCGACGACGACTTGAGTCGTCTATTATCAAAGGTGGCAATCTGTGCATTTGGACAAAAAAATGTTATTGATATGTCAATACAGATTGATTTGAATATAATCGTCTCCTTCAAAGAATACGGTTCAAAACCTGCATTAAATAAAGGTTAATACTTAACCTGTTATTTATCTAAGATGTCGTTCAGAAGAGTTTTGTGACTGCCAATGGNGCATTTGGACAAAAAAATGTTATTGATATGTCAATACAGATTGATTTGAATATAATCGTCTCCTTCAAAGAATACGGTTCAAAACCTGCATTAAATAAAGGTTAATACTTAACCTGTTATTTATCTAAGATGTCGTTCAGAAGAGTTTTGTGACTGCCAATGGAATACAAAGTCAATAATTCGTTTTTCTGATCTACCAATAATTGTCCAAAAGTCACATTGCCGGCTTTGATAATAGTCGACTCACTTAACCTACCTATTTTGTAAACATTGTGTGATGAACAGGTTTGTTTGCTCTTCGTCTGGGTGTTTATTATCTATATACATAATATCTATATTATGTTCAAATGTATATAAGTATGTTTGTCTGTCTCTAGTACACACATAGCACAGGGAATCCTAAATTGGGGCCGGATGACCGTGCCTGATTTGTTCCTAGACATTTATTTATTTATAAAAAATATCGTCGAAAACCACCGTAGTCATCCGTAACCACATAAACTGCAGTATTCCATACGTAGCTTGTAATAAAAGCGAGATTCCAACTTCAAACATGCTTCTAATTACTAACGTAACTTGACTGTAACCAAAAAACCGCAGTTCGCTTCCCGGTCTTCGTTCTCGTCGGACCTGTCGCTTGTGACGAAGGGCTCGACGAGTAAATTAAACTACATACACAGCCCACTGAGTTTCTCGCCGCATCTTCTCAGTGGGTCGCGTTTCCGATCCGGTGGTAGATTCTGCGAAGCACTGCTCTTGCTAGGGCTAGTGTTAGTAACATCACCAGATTAGAGCCCCATGAGCTCAACTACCCGCATGGATAATCCAATATATATTCCTCGAGATTATTGGAATAGGTAGGAAAAAAGCAGTTCGCTTTTCTTTATTGATTTAATGTATCTTTTATGCATAATTTTTTTTAAAAATATTAGCATTCTGCACTTCTTCTCTATATTCTTTATAAGTGTGGAAAATTTCATACTGCTCCGTCCGCGCAATTTTCGTAGAAAGGGATACAAAATTTTTGCTTCACGTATTAATATATAGATTCCTGCCATCTTGCATTATAACGTCCAGCCCGCACCTATGAGAGGAAGTAGCAAAATCTATTCCCAGACGAAGGCCGATCTCAATAAACAATATGAAAAACAGGTGAGTAACATTCATTCAGTTCACATTTATTCTAAATATATAAACGTTATAATAATTATTTATATTTTAACGTCGGCTTATAAGTTTTCTCTGATCACTATAACGCTATATTAATATCACACTAATGAGTTGTGAGCCAGCCGGTCCTATTTTATTTTTGGTAGCCTAGGGAGATATTCCAGCTTCGCGCGGACTGGTAGATGAACTTACGGGCTCAACCTGAGAGAATTTGCTAACACTAGCCCTAGAAAGAGCAGTGCTTCGCAGAATCTACTACCGGATCGGAATCGCGACCCACTGAGAAGATCCGGCGAGAAAATCAGTGGGCGAAGCCGGTTCTAACTGGAGGGTTGCTAAATATAGACAACAATGGATTATCTTAGAAGAGGTCTAGAACAATAGGCGCATTGAACTGAGAGAGATTCTGTAAAATGTATAAAAATTAAATCAACATCCCTAAACATTCAGAATAACGGGCTCATGGATAGATTGATTGATTGACACTAGTGAAGCTACACAGGCGCCCTCTGTAGTACGCGAATGACGGAAACATACCAAAAGAAACAAATGTCATTAAAATCGATTGAATGTTTTAGAAGTCGTCGTGGTCGTAAGACGACCGATGCATTCGTGTTGAGCGATGCACCGGTGTTCGAATCTCAGGCGGGTACCAATTATTATTTTTCTAATGAAATACGTACTCCGCAAATGTTCACGATTGACTTCCACGGTGAAGGAATAAGGTAATAAAAATGAAACCCGCAAATTTATAATTTGCGTAATTACTGGTGGTAGGACCTCTTGTGAGTGCGTGCGGATGGGTACCACCACTCTGCCTATTTCTGCCATGAAGCAGTAATGCGTTTCGGTTAGAAGGGTGGGGCAGCCGTTGTAACTATACTTGAGACCTTGGAACTTGTATCTCGGGGTGAGTGGCGCATTTACATTGTGGATGTCTATGGGCTCCAGTAACCACTTAGCACCAGGTGGGCTGTGAGCTCGTCCACGCATCTAAGCAATAATAAAAAAAATATGACAATATTGAATAGTTATTTTTCGTAAATATAGAAGAGTTCACATTTTTATTCATATAGTAAAAAATGGTGATATGAACATAAAACAGTGTTGAAAAACAATAATATAAAAATTTTAATCGCAAAAAGTTTTTACATAAAATTAAAACAAAAAGAAACTTAGCGTGTGTGAAAAGATACATTATTAAAACAACATAATAGAAATCTACTTTTAAATCAGGAATACCCCCGTTTGAACATACTCGCATTCCATAGTGACGTCAAAAATAAACAAGGCAGTCAAAAAAAAGCCCCTTACGCAAAAAGATAATCAGAGAAGTTCTAACTAAAATCAACAAGTATGGAGAGGTAGGGAGCACCACCTTGTATAGGAGAAAAGTTGAAGAAATGTCCACCTGTAAACGTCAAGTTATAGTTCGAAGACTCACCGAAATGGCGCTAGTGTTGCAAGTGGAAATGTATAGCAGTTCTAAACAGAACGCAGTGTGAGAGTTTATGGCGCTATTTTTTAAATCTTTTTTACTCTGGCGCCATCTTAATTAGCTCCATTTTTAATACACTAAGATATTGCTCCTTACCTCTACTCTCTATAACAACAAGACATGTTTTGTATTAGCCTAAATTGACAATCGTACATGAGGCTCAATTAGAAATGACACAAGAGCCTATAGTGATTTTTTGTTAGATTCGTCATTCTCATTCGTAGCAGCAAAAGGAATAAAGCCCATACAGCTAAGATTGTCCACAACGTACGATAATAGATAAAGAGGTAGATATTTATTAGTATTACATTCCATTATTGACAATCAAGGGTAGTCGTTGGTCCAATTGCCAAGTTGGAACCCCGATTTTTTTTAATTAATTAAAGAAAAAGAAATCAAATATGCTGTTTTTAACAAAAAATGTAAGGTTTTTTTTTAATGTAACCACACTACAATTGTTTATTTTCAAGAAATATTAAGCCTTTGTGTAATATTTTATTATTATTGACAATGTAGGCGAATTTGAACTTTTCATCCCTCACAGTTGGGCAATGTAACGTCACGAATTAAATCTCTATGTTTTTTTAAAAAACATTCTATTTGACACTAAAATTAGTTTTTAAAAAACCCTTGTAAAAACATTTCGAGTCACATTAAAAACAAACAAAGCCTATGTGTATCAACGAAGCGTCTGATAAAAATGAGCACACACTGATGGTAGGACCTCTTCTGAGTCCGCACGGGTAGATACCACCACCCTAACATCCCCCACACATCTAAGCAATAAAAATAAAATAAATATATATTCCTATATGCTTCTTCAGTTCTTCAGTACATCATCTAAATATTAACAAATAACTTCACAAACGTCCTGTTCGCTGTATATAGGTTGTAGCTACGTATATTTATTTAAGCAATTCCTAAAAACTACTAACCGTTTGCTAAAATTCCATTTGCCCGAAAAAAACTCATCTTTATTCCAATTGTAGTTTCAATGGATACGCTATTAAACATGAAACTAGTGAAGGCTATAAAAACCGTATTTCGATTTTCGGTTTTTTTTTATTGCCATATAGGTTGACAGACAGATCAGTGTGCCTAGTGCTAGTTCTTTAACGTTCTCGATAGCGTAAAAGTTAACTCGAATTTGTATGCAGTTGGAACAGCGCCCCTAGCGGCAAACGTAGGTAAACGTTACAACTCCAAACAAAGTCGAGTTAACTTTTACGCTATCGAGAACGTTTAAAACTCGCACTAAGCACACGGATAGTGTTTGGTCACAGTTGCAACCAGAAATGCTATAAGGGCAAAGTCGCTGCCTACCGCTCTCCATCATTTCTTATGCTCTATCAGACAAGCGTAAACATAAACATGTACGAGGTATATAGAGAAATTGAACATTGTGAATAATGTATCTTTCCACTCACTTGTCGTGTAGCCGAAGTCGTCCTCTTCCTCGGGATCTGCCTGCTTCTCTTCTTTACTGCGCTTTATAGCCCCGGCCGAAGCTCTGTCGATCTGTTCAAAGGGAATTTCTTGGTAAAGTGATAGAAAGAAAAGCTCTGTCGATCGGTTCAATCGGAATTTCTTGGTAAAGTTATAGAAAGAAAAGCTCTATTGATCTGTTCAATGGGAATTCCTTGGTAAAGTAATACAAAGAAAAGCTCTGTCGATCTGTTCAAAGAGAATTTCTTAGTAAAGTTATAGAAATAAAAGCTCTGTCGATCTGTTCAAAGAAAATTTCTTGTGAATATCCAATTAGTCATGACAGCCATTTGCCGTCTATCAAGCCAATTGAATCAAAAGTTATTACCCTAACGTTGGCACGAATTATTCCTCTCGAATCTTCGAGATGGAGCATAGGAGATTGTGCTCATCTCATTCTAATATGAGTGTGCTTAGAAATTGACTTTGGCTTTTACCTCAACTCCTTTATCAGAATACGTTCTCCCTTGCAATTCTCGTTCATCTTCTTCGTCACTGCTTTCAGAGTCTGAATACACGGGCTTGCGAGCTGTTTCCGCTTCGGATGTCGACTCCTTCTCTGCTTGCTTATCTTCTTCCGACTCTTCTTCGTTATCTGGCTCTGCTGTTACTGTTATCTGTGTGAGATTTTGATGATTAACTATTTCCTATTACTAGTGATCTCCCAGCAGTTGCAATTCGACTATAATTCATTGAAATTATAAGATTGAACATTATTATGGTTCTGTTGTCAAAGACTTCTATAATCACAGATTTTTCCAAGACTCTATACTGTAGACAAATAAAATTAAAACTAACAATATTAATCTATTCTCAATTAAACCACAGACTTTAACAATAAACAAAAGAGTATACATGCGTACACACGGGTGTAATGTTTTTTTATAGATTAAATGTATTTATTTTGCATAATAAAAAAAAAATATTAGCATTCTGCACTCCTTCTCTATATTCTCTAGAAGTGTGGGAAATTTCATACTCCTCCATCTGCGCAATTTTCGTAAAAAGGGGTACAAAGTTTTTTCTTCACGTATTAATATTATATAGATAAACTAGATTTTTTTCGTACATTTATTTATGGGGTGTAAACATAAAGGTTCGCTTGTATTTTGAGTACTGTTCACTTTTTAGTGTTAATTCTTTATTGTGACGGTGGATATGCTGATATGCTGGATATGCTGACATTATAAAAATACCTTGATTTCATGCTGAGGAGTTTTGTCAATGTTGAACGATAGTTTTGCTGGTGACTTCTTTATTGACGTAGCTGGCGACGCTGGTGGCGATGACCCATCCACGTCTGACGAATCTGTATTCTAAACAAATAGTAAAAGTTAAATATATATTGTATCTCTCCTAAACGATGAGGAAACATCTTTGTAGATTATATGATTCTTCTTCTTTCTCCACCTTATCCCACTAGATAGGGTCGGCACAGCTAATTTATCTCTTCCATTCTCTTCTATCAGCCGTCATCTCAACACTCACTTCTCTCTCTCTCATATCGTTATTCACACACTCCATCCATGTCTTCTTCGGTCGATCTTCTCCCTCTACCTTGCACTACCAATTCCATACGTCTCCTGATTTGTATCATATAATCTTGCAGATTATATCTTCTGTCTAATCTAATCTTGCAGATTATATGATTCAAATAATTCAATTATACAAATCCAATTCTAGGTCGATAACCGAAAGCCAAGGTCTTAATTAATGAAGGTCTTTCGGATTTTGCCTTAGATGGTTCGGGTATGACATGTCCAGTACCTAGAGTTAAAACTAATTAAGGCGGCATTATTAGTTCGACCTGTATAAACATTTATCGATATAACAGAATCTTTAACGTTATTTTCAACAAAACCCAAGACGTTTGGACATTGGAAATCCGCACATGTAATACGGACTGATTATAAACACTTCAATTTTAATGCTTTGACCTAATATCGTAAAAGCTCCGATTTGGTCAATCTCACTGCATTGCTCATGTCCATGAATGAAGCAGACCACTCACCATCAGCTTGGCTGTAAGTGTATCTGCGCAGTGGCCATAAAAAACTACCAAAATAAATAAAAAATCGCTTGGAATGATCTCTTTAGTTATATCTACTTAGATTTCTCTGCCTAACTTCGAAAACTGGTACATTTAATTTTATCTCTAGTACTGTTGGTAGGATTTGCCTTGAAGCAACAGCTCAGATCTCAGCGGGTACAATATTCGCCACTTGCGTCACAGACTTAAATGGGGACATGGCCATCATCTTAAGGCAACCGAAACAGCGGTAGGCAGCGGCTTGGCTCTGCCCCTGGCATTGCCGAACTTCATGGGCGACGGTAACCACTCACCATCAGGTGGGCCGTGTGTCGTCTGTCTACAAGGGCAATAAAAAATAAAAAAAACTTCAGCTTAGTGTGTAAAGCAGTTAAACGACATATTTGAAAAACTGAAAATTGAATTTGAAAATCTAATTAAAAAACAATGGAACGGAAATCACGACTAAAGAGTTTAATTCAATAGACAAGATTACATTTCGATTCACAGGTACGAGTTTTAAGCTCATGCCTTGGCAAGCTCGATGCAATACGCACCCAGGCCAGAAGGCTCTGCACGGTGAGGGTGACCTTATCGCCAGCGGCTTTGATCAGCTGTACAGCTCTCTCGTGCTGCGCTGATCGGACGCAAACCCCGTCCACTTCCAGGATCCTGTCACCTGTCTGGAGGAAATTAGGGATGATAGATATATATTTTTGCGTAGACGGGTGGAGAAACTCACGGCCAATCTCTTAGTTATATATATATAATAGCTAGTAACCTCGAGGAGTTATACTAGCTTCACTGGACGTAGTGCTGTTAAATGGTTATCGGAGCTCCGTGAGACATGAGTTCTAAGTTTCCGTTCCGTGGACGAGGACCCTTCAAACCGAAACGCATTACTGCTTCACGGCATAATTAGGCAGGGTAGCGGTACCTACCCGTACGGATTCACAAGACGCGCTACCACCAGTTATTAGACTCTTGTAAACTTTTAACACCAGTGTAACCTGTGCTTAAATAATACCGGCAATGCCAGGGGCAGAGCCAACCTGCCTACCGTTAAGTATTATTTATTTATTTATTGCTTAGTTTGGTGGACGGCCCACCTCGTGTTAAGTGGTTACCGGAGCCCATAGACATATATAACGCCGCCACCCGCCTTGAAACATGAGTTGTAAGGTTTCACTTTTAACAGTACAAGGTTTTAGACGTCCTATCGTTAATGAACATTCAGCTGTTACAATATTGATCCTGAAGTTTAAACCAATTGTGTCTACTGGTTATTTTAGGTGCATATTTTACAAATAATATCAATGTTTCTATTGTGAAACATAGATATAGATTTAGTATTCATAGTTGATCATAAAATACTAATTTAACCTAACGTGTAGAGGGGCCGTGGAGTAAAGAGAATGGATAGAATACGGAATGAATATGTTAGAGGAAATCTGAAAGTGGCACCTGTGACAGAGAAGCTGAGGAGTGCACGTTTGGGATGGTATGGACATGTGATGAGACGAAATGAAAATGAGGTTGTTAAGAGAGTGTTAACTATGAATGTGGAAGGATTTAGAGGAAGAGGTAGACCTAAGAAGAAATGGATGGATTGTGTGAAAGACGATATGGGTAGGAGGGGAGTGAGCGAANGAGGTTGTTAAGAGAGTGTTAACTATGAATGTGGAAGGATTTAGAGGAAGAGGTAGACCTAAGAAGAAATGGATGGATTGTGTGAAAGACGATATGGGTAGGAGGGGAGTGAGCGAAGAAATGGTATATGATAGAAGAGTATGGAAGGAGAAAACATGTTGCGCCGACCCCAGGTGACTGGGAGAAGGGCAGGATAATGATGATGTGAAGAGGGGACAAAACTTACAGGAAGATGATTAACTGTGGACAGAGATTTTTTAGTTTACCCTATTTCATCTTTCCTAGTAGACGACGATTCGTCTTTTTAACAAAACATGTACATTCATGAGCTTAGTTCTCATTACTTTGAAAAGAGCTTTTATTTGAAACGAAAGCAGAAACAGATAACCAAAGTTTGTGTCATCATTACGATGACTCTTCGATATATTTTATAGCAAAATCAGTTATGACCATGATCCTGTTCATGTCAATTGTTTTTCTTTTTAGTAATTTCCTTCTCGACAGAGTGGCCGTTGTCATATAGTATTGGAAAGGGCAAAGTTGATGCTCCTCACGATTTCACCCATCTCTCTCCGTTCTCCCATTTAAGGGTCCCAATTAATTAGACTACTGGAATTTCTCTTTCTCTCTCAACTCCACTTACTTGAAGCTCTCCACTAAGACCAGCAGGGCTGTTGGCAACGACATTCTTGATAAAGATTCCGAAAATCGCTTTTTCTTCTCCCTCTTCGCTATCTTGGCTTGATATTATATCGACCTTTGGGCAAAAAAGAGAAAACGTGATAGCTAATTTATTTATTGCATATACGGATAAACCTACACAGGGCACACCTGATGTTAGTGTAGTAAACAAACTATTTAAAGCAATAGAAAAAGGTCAAGCAATAAAATCTAAAACGTCTTAGGTTAGCAGGTACGGTAGGCAGCGGCTTGGCTCTGCCCCTGGCATTGCTGAAGTCCATGGGCGACGGTAATCACTTACCATCAGGTGGGCCGTATGCTCGTCTGCCGACAAAGGCAATAAAAAAAATATATAAAAAAAATTGCGAAATAAATAATAATTATTAATCATGTACCTTTCCGCCAACAATACTGACGCCCAAAGGAGCACCAGGGCTTCGTTTGATGGTCACCTTCCTCGGGGGACCCCACCGCTGGGCTACGATGGTATCAGCACGCCGATCCGGCGACACCGTGACCGTCATCGCTTGTGGACAGTAGCTGGTGGATATAAGAACATTCACTGAAATTATCAAGCTTCCTTTTCAGCGAATTTCATCAGAAAGATGTCTCTATTGACATTAGAATCGAGTAGAACATTTAAATATGGTAGATTTTAAGAAAAAAAATCAGCTGCTGTCATCAAGAAATAAAGTATCTTAAACAATTTCAAGCATAATCAAAAGGCATATTATAAAGTTAAGGATTATTTACTAGATGGCACTACGTGGGAATGAGGCGCTCGCTCCTGGCCTTTTTATTTTTCATTATTATTATTTTTTTTTTAATTGTTTTTTTGACTTGTTTTTTCCTTTATTGTAAATATATTTATTTATTTAACAAAAAGAAAATATTTGAGAAAAAACAAAAAAAAAGAAAGACCGTTGAATTTGTTTCGCCAGTTCTTCTCAGGACTGTGGCTTTTTTGGAACCGGTGGTAGAGTTAACATTGTTATTTGTATTTTGACATTCAACAAGTGTGTCATACTGACATCCAAGTTGAAATAAATGATTTTGAATTTGAATTTGAATTTGTATTAAGCGAACCTTTGTAATAAATACCATCGAACTAAATAAGCCGTATTATTCTGTGTCTCTTGTCTATTGCGACGTTTAGGAATTGATTGTTGATACAAAAATATTGTAACACTAAGTGTATTGTTAAACAAACAAAAACAATTGCAAAAAAAAACAAAAAATCGACAATAATTGAACTCAGACATTTCATATATTACTGGTGGTAGGACCTCTTTTGAGTCCGCGCGGGTAGGTACCACCACCCTGCCTATTTCTGCCGTGAAGCAGTAATGCCTTTCAGTTTGAAGGGTGGGGCAGCCGTTGTAACTATACTTGAGACCTTAGAACTTGTATCTCAAGATGGGTGGCGCATTTACGTCGTAGACGTCTATGGGCTCCAGTAACCACTTAACACCAGGTGGGCTGTGAGCTCGTCCATCTATCTAAGCAATAAAAAAATAAAAAAATTCATAGTTTCTTCTAAAGAGCAGAAGAACCCACTTTTGGTGTTTAGTGAATAGCTGCAACCTATGTCCTAGCGACAGGATGAGGTGGAATATGACTTCGGACTCGTGGTTGACTTCTTATATTACCAAGTGAGCCAGGCTAAATTCATTGACCCATCTATGCTCTATAAAAATTCCCTACCAAAGCTAAGAGCACAGTAGGTACGTGTCTAGTTTTGGAACCACAACTCGAACTCGATGACCTTCGATCGCCTTCAAGACTTCGATGGAATGATATGCATATTCAATAATAGGTCTAGGTGATCGTTCTAAAATTTGGAGCTGCCGAGAGCTACTGTAGTTTTAGGGAGAGTTCACTGAGATCCTGATTGAGAATGTACTCTCTTTCCCCTTAATCCACACAATTTGTCCGTTATGACATTTCTCTCTTTAGACGAGTCTTAATGATGCAGCTTTGCTGTAGACAATTAGCTGTGCTTGTAATTGCTGCTGTCCGCGGACAACAGCACACAATCTTAACAAAAAAAGTAAATTGCCTTTGTCAAAATAAAATGAGATCACCAATCCAAGTCAATTAAATATGCATTAATTAGGGATAATTCAAAAACTACAAATAAGATTTTGTTAAAATTTAAATGGAACCACATGACAAACATCAAAGTGGACAGAATCATCAAAATCGATCCATCAATATAGATTCCGAAGTAACACATCATTAAAAAAAAACATATAGTTCAATTGATAGCATCCTAATTTCTTTGAAGTCAGTTAAGAAGAATCCGGCGAGATACCGCGTCAAAGATCTCGCTTACTATAGCCCAGCTCGAATTGCGAGTCCAATAAACCGTACATCATATCAACGCATCGAGAACCCTCAATTTACCACTTAAGCAATTGAATTCAATGACTCCTAACTATAGATGCTGGGAAGGTTGGATACTGTAGCGTTTGAAATATCTAAACAAATATATTTGTCGCACATAATACAATTGCAATACACGTTAAGAACCTATGTATCTTTAATACCATATTTGCTTTTAAACTTATTAAAGACTAGCGACCCGCCCTCGCTTCGCCTCGGAAACATTAAAACACACATGAAACCAAAAAAATAAAATAATTTTTTTTTAAAAAAAAGTAGCCTATGTTCATCAGGGACAATGTCGGCTTCTAATGGAAAAAGAATTTTTCAAATCGGTCCAGTAGTTTCGGAGCCTATTCGAAACAAACAAACAAACAAATCTTTCCTCTTTATAATATTAGTATAGAAGACAGCACTGGTTTGGCTTTTTCATCGCATAAGTAAACGGGATTCCGGCCAACCTAATGCTGAATGGTACCAGAGCCCATAGTCATCACGGCATGAATACCGTCACAGGCGTTGAGAAATATGATCTAAGCTTAAATTAAATAAATAATAGTTTAAAAAAATTAGCAAAATACACTTTTCAGGATATTATCAAAATAACCCTTCTACTTATCTGTTCATTAAATATTTATAATTACTGATACCATGCACCCCACGCTTTTTTTACAATAAAATCATTTTTTCTTAATTCAAATTTATTAAAATTTATTTTCTATTTTTAAGTTGGATGTTCTATAAAAGCGTATTTTGTTAGTTTTTTTAAACTATTAATTAATTTATTTTTTAGTTGAATTTAAATTTTTTTAATATTTTTTTTTTAAATTGAATTACCATCGGTCCTTAACAAGTATACCAAATTTCGAGTTAATCCGACGTTTTTAAGAGAGTCAAAATCATGTTCAAAGATTCCGTTACATACATACGTCTGAAGCTAACAAAAGCGTATTAAAAAATGGCACTTAGATGCATAAACTATTTCTGAATTACTAAAATTCCTTCGTTTCATAATCAAACTTTGGTACGTACTTAATATTTACAACACGTGGCTTCAATTGAATTCGGTTACCGAATCACACAATATTTCCAATTTCCAATCACACGACCACGTTCCTGTCACTTCGAAAAACGAATGCCGGTGAAACGCCGTCGCCCCGTGGTACGTGTGTGAAAAGTGTTATAGTGCAAAGTTGAAATGTAGGAAAAGTACAGTCGACAACAAAACTGTTATTTCAGATTTTAAAATCAGATTCGATTTTTTTTTGTTGCTTATATGGGTGGACGATGGGGGTAAAAGGTGGGACGATGACGTAAGACAAGTGGCAGGAGTCACATGGAACGGTTTGACTCAAGAAAGAAAGGAATGGAAAAGGTTGGAGGAGACCTTTGCCGACTGGCAAACAGATCTAGGAAAGATAACCAAGCAACAAATATTAGTTTAAATTTATCTATTAAGTTTAAGATTTTAATGCTAGTCTTTTACATAAGTTAAAAATTCATTGCACTAAGAGATCTGAATAAAAGGCTATATTATTATTATTATTACATGGGTGGACGAGCTCACAGCCCACCTGGTGTTAAGTGGTTACTGGAGCCCATAGACATCTACAACGTAAATGCGCCACCCATCTTGAGATATAAGTTCTAAGATCTCATTAAAGTTACAACGGCTGCCCCACCCTTCAAACCGAAACGCATTACTGCTTCATGGCAGAAACAGGCAGGGCGGTGGTACCTACCCGTGCGGACTTACAAGAGGTTCTACGACCAGTAATTTTAACAGCACGATGTTTTTTTTGTCCTACCTGTTGGCTGGTAACCTATGGAGCTGTTCCAAATACGCCTGGATGAGTAAGTGAGCTCATAGGCTCAACATATGAGAACTTACTAACACTAGCCCTAGCAAGAGCAGTGCTTTGCAGAATCCACTACATCATTGGAATCGCGACCCAATAAGAAGATCCGGCGCGAAACTCAGTGAGCTGTGTTTACGGGTTAGTTCGCTCGTCAAACTCTTAGCCCACTGAGTTTCCAATTCCAATCTTGAGACATAAGTTATAAGGTCTCTGTTTTATAGTACAACCGCCGAACGCATTAATGTCTCACAACCGAAATAGGTAATGTATTGGTACCTACCCGCGCGGACTCACAAGACGTCCTACCGCCATTAATTAAATGAGCAATTGCAAATATGTTCGCGACAGTACTGGATGCAGGCACCATTACTCAGATCAATCATTGTAACCGACACGTGCTACTAACTCGACCTCCATCATGCACAAACGTACATGTGTATATGTACAAAACTATGTATTCACGATTTCTATACAGATTTAAATCTCAAACGACTATATCAAGCTCGTTCTAAGCCGATGGAAAATAAGTTTGTTTGCATAATGATGAAACATGATGTCGGAATTTTTGTCAGAAATCTCCAAACGCTTAAGGGAGGTTACACATGATGCTAAGGCTGGCTGGTACTTTGCACAGAGAGTGAGTCTGGCTGTCCAACGAGGTAGGGTGGGGCAGCCGTTGTAACTGTAACTATACTTGAGACCTTAGAACATGTATCTCAAGGTGGGTGGCGCATTTACGTTGTGGATGTCTATGGGCTCCAGTAACCACTTAACACCAGGTGGGCTGTGAGCTCGTCCACCTATCTAAGCAATAAAAAAAAAAAAAACGTAACCAGTATCTTGGGAACTGTGCCTCCTTGAAGCGCATTGGAAGATTTGTTCTACTGTGTGAGTTGATTCATATTAAATTATTTTGATTTGTTATATTATAAAATTAAAGTTATATTATATGTGTATAAAAATTGAATATAAGATTTACAAATAATAATAAAAAATGTCGTATATGTAATAATTATTACGTACAGTTCGCACGTTACTGGGAAATGATTAGTGACTTCCATTGACGTTAGGGCTCATTATTCGCTGAAGGTTCAGAATGGGTTTATCCGGAATGTCGCCAACGTTTCGTCCGATTACAGGACGGTTTCATACAGAGCTCTGAGATTTTTATTTCATTGGACTCGATGGATACACTCGAAAATTATTCATAAATCGCTTTTTTTTTGGGATTTTATATTAAATTTGTCATTACTGGTGGTAGGACCTCTTGTCAGCCCGCACGGGTAGGTACCACCA